TTTTAAGTTCTATTTCAAGTTGCAAGTTCTCAAAGTCCTTATTTTTAAAAATGAGAACAATGGTGCCCTCTGCTGTACAATATTGACACAATATTTTTTTAATCACAAATTTATCTTTTATAATTTAAAGCTAACTACACCATACGAATAAATTGTATTTCATGCAACAATATATATGTTGTTGACAAAAATGTAAATACCCCTTGAGAAATTTTCATTTCAATAATTATTGAGTATTTATTTTGCAAAGCCTTGCACTAAGTAATCTGCCAGGCAGCTGGTAGATAATCAACTGAGCAACAATTCAATCATTTTAACCACTTGGACATGGAAGGAAGGAAAAGCACAAGGGCCACTGGTGCCCAAGGAGGACATGAGGTGGAGCAGAGAGGTTCATAAAGGAAGGCACCACCATCCCTCCAGTCACTCAGGATTACCACCTCTGAGCCACCCTTGACTCTTCTCTCTCCATTGAACCTCCCATTTCCAATCAGTTGTCAAGACCTACTGCTTCTATCTCTACGATGTTCCCTTGCTCTCTACTCTCACTGAAACCACCCTAGATCAGACCTCTGTCACCTCTTATCTGGACTACTGAAGAGCCTCCTCACTGGATTCCCAGATATCTCTCCTCCCTCGTCCCCCCCTTAACTCCCCATCCATCTTGCTTTCACACAGCTGCCAAAATAACCTTCCTTAAAAAACAAGTCTGGCAGTATCACTGGCCTGCTCCAGAGTCTTGAGGTGTATCCCCTAATGCTTCCAGGATAACCTATAAACTCCTCACCTAGCAACATAAAGCCCTTCATATCTGGATTCCAGACTACCTTCCCAGGTTTAAGGCTCATTAGTCCTATTCACAGTCTATGTTTCAGCCAAACTGAATTAAGTGTGCCTTATACCAAAACTGGCATTTTATCTGCCATCTCTATTTTTTAGCATTGGTTGTCTCCTCTACCCAGAATGCACTCCTTCCTCATCCCCACCTCTTGGAATTCCTAGTTTACTTCAAGACTCAATTGATGTTCAGAAGCCTTTACTGAACCTCCTAGTTATTAGTATCTTCTCCCTTTTCCTCCAATTATGTCTATTTTTACCTGTTTACATATTGCATCCTGACAGTACATTGTCAGCAGAAGCTCTGTAAGAGCACCGTAGTTCCCATTTTTCAAGAATTATCTCTAGTGCCTAGCAGAATGCCTTATACAGAGAAGGAACTTAATGTTTATTTGATTGGATTGCTTGTATTGGAAGCTGGAAGGTAACAAATACAAACTACTATTGTCAAGGACCATAGCAACAATCCATATGTTACAGCAAATTGACTGTTACTGGTGCCTGAATTGAAATACCAAAATGAGTTTGAAAGGTTTCAAGCCTCATTTTCCTCCAGTTCACCTCAGTATTTCTAATCAAGCTTTGTCGGGTCTCATCTCTTCAATTCAGCAAAATATCTTCTGTTCACGCTTAATCTATCCCTTGCTAAGAAGAAGAAAACAGAGAAACACACACGCACCTTTTTCTTTACAGCTTTATTATCAGTATATTGTCCAGTTAAACCTTTGGAACTTTAGAATTTTACCTTAATGACTCAGTGTTAGGAAAAAGGGAAAGGGTAAATGTTTGGTAAGATTTCTAAACATCACTTTGTAGGACCTAGAAAAAAAGTCATTCTGTTGTGGTATAGCCCTCCCTACCTTCTCTCTCAGTTACACTTATATTTAAGGTAAACTTTAGGTCAGTATCCATTCACTTCCATAGCAAACAGGCTGCCTGATACTTCCCTCTTTTAAGACACATTGACTCAAAACAAAACCATTAAATAACTTTGAAAAATAAAGAGGGAAACTCCCCATATACAACAGACACACTCTGTCACATTCCCACACCACTGATGGGAGAGGGAACACAAGTAATCTGACCATCAGGATCCTATGATTATGCCCTAGACCTCCAAAACTTCCAACTGCTGCTTCCCCAAATAGCTGATGATGTTATCTGCTGATGTCATCTACTGGGCTATTCTATTACACAGGGTGTGTAATCTGTTGCTTCTCCATTATACTGCTGCCACCTGCTATTTCTCCACTGCCAGGTGGCCTCTTTCCCACTGGGGAAACGGTTAAAACTCTTTTGTGAATTATCTCATAGTTTCAGTGCCATTTGACTTCTTTTGCGAGTCAGACCCATAGTCCATACTCAGCTAGCACAGCAACACCCTCTCAAGTCAAATATATATTTTAGATTACTGCAGTTCCTCCTGAGTCAAAACTCTCCAGGTCTACCTTATTTAGGTAAATTTCTTTCAGCTGCCATCATACTCCTAGCATCTGGCCCTAGGATCAGGCAGACCATCTTTGAAGTTTCATTTATGAGAGGGGCACAGAGAAGGGCAACTGACCTTTGTCCAGAATTCCTTCCAACAACATGAAATCACTAGAATCAACTTTATTTTCATCCAATTAGAACACTTTTTTTAAGGGGGTAGGGTGGCAAGTTCATAGGATTATGTATTCATTCATACAATAAATATTTATTGAGGCCTGTATATAGTCAAAAGGCTGGCTATAATGCTATTTCCAAAAGATTTAGAGCTGAATTAACAAGGTGCAAAGTAAGGACTTTATATTTTTTTTATTCAACTATAAAAACTGTTTCAAAGAACTGAAAGAATTTGACATGAGAATCAACATCTCATCATTAACAGTTAAAACTACAAATTTAAAAGAGCATGCTTACCCAAGTTTGGAGGCTAGCTTCTTTACCTTGAGCAGGATGTGGGAAACCTGGGTGATGCTTCCAGGTAAAGGTTGCCCCAGGGTCCAAGGCCATTGTCAGTGGGGCCCATGCAGTAGCTGCTGCCCCTCCCCACTCCTTCCTTTCCCAGGTCGGGGAGGGCAAAATCAAAGATGAGGGGTAAAGGGTGAAACTCTCTTCTATGAGAGGGGTTAACAGATACCCTTGACTCAAGGGAAGGGAGCAACCGAGTAGTGCAGGTGTTTTAGAACTCCTTAATGATCCATCACAACACTTCCAGAATTTGCTAAGATATTTTTTGCTGTTCTAATTTACTCTGTAATCTCCATGAAGGAGGATTCAGAGGTGCAGAGGGAAGGGAGTAAAGTAAGCCTCAGGGAACGAAAAAGCAACTACAGTTTTCCCCAATTCCCTAGCACTGAGGGAATTAACAGAACTGAGCATACACTTCCCGATAGGGCATCCTTCCTTGTCCTCTATGCTTCGAAGCTATACCCAGGTCCATGGCCTTGAACCGACCCAGTGGACCGACAGCTTGAGAGCATCAGGCCAAGTACGAGACAGCTTCTTAACTGTCTGCCAGAAAAGCACCTCCAAGTCTTGGTGCTTGGAGAGTGACCCCAACTGCAGAGCAAGAAAGGAGGGGAGGGAGGAGGCTTACATACCTTCCAGTTGTGTGCAATAGTGACCCTAACCCAAATTAAACTCAGAGACTTCTCAAGGTGGAAAGCAAAGGTTACCTTTATTACAATCTCGAGAGATGGCTGTCTGCTCCTTCGATACACATGGGAGGGGGAGAGCGAGAGCAAGAGCGAGAGAGAGTGCGAGAGCACCCACATAACAGGGGCCACCTTATAAAAACAAATCTCTACCCACCACTATCCCTTACCCCCTTAACTGGGGGTGGGCTTACATTCTAACTGGGAGGTGGGGTTTACATTCTAAGCTGGAAAGTTTCTTCCTATCCCCTTAACTGGGAGGTGGGGCTTACATTCCAGGCCCAAAATTCAAAGACAAGGAAAGAGGCTGGAAGCCAAGGGCAAATGGCTCAGGTTGGGGGTGGGGCAGGGCTTATTCTTTCTGTTACATGCTTAAAAACAGGGTCTGAGCAGGAGAGGATTTTGAAAATAATAATCAAAAATTATTGACCTTTTGAGGAGGCTTCACTTCTGAGAGTTCATCTCTCATACAGTCTTTCTGGAGAAGAGCTTGAGGTTAGGCAGTTTTCCCTGTACGGGCCACCAAAATGATGCAATTTAGGGGTTCAGGGGTGTTAGAATCCCAAAAATCACAACACTCGGGTCCTGCTTGAATGAATTCAACCCAAGCCTTCTCTCAGCCAAAGACAAGGTTTATTAGAACATCTGCCATATTGGGCAGACTCTTAAGGAGTCTGAACATTAGTAAGCAGTGGTTAGATTTTAAGAATCCAAGCCTCTTAATGGAGACAAGATGGATCTTATATACAGAAAGACTGTGGGAGGGATCTAGGAGTGGATCTGAATGGGAGTGGGTAGTAAACTGGGATGAACAGAACTCCTGGGACCTGGAGAATGGAGAAAGACTATGGGAGAATCTAGGAGTGGCCAAGTAGTCTAAGAAGTAATAGAATTACCAAGGGTGGGAAGTAGCCTGGGGCCATAGAGAGGAAAGACAATGGAGGGGAGATTGGTTTAGCCACAATAAAAGACCAGTGGATAGGATTACAGCTTCAGGCAAACGACAGAGATTTGGCCACAGGAAAGTCCAGGGTTTTTCTTTTCTGGGACCCAGATCTCAACCTCATCAATACCACCCCACCTCTTCCTGAAAGTTTCCCTTTCAATTATCCCCCATTAGACTATCAGTTACTTTAAAGTAAGAGCTGTTGGGTTTTTTTGCCTTTCTTTATATCCCCAGGGTTTGACATATGGTGGTACTTAGTAAATGCTCGTTAATCTCTAATTTTCAATCTTTTCTTTGTAGGATTACAAAAGAAACCAGTTATATTATAAGTTAGACAATGGGTTTTTTTCTGAGTTTATGAACCCCAAGTTAAGAACCCTTGACTAAGGGGATCCCACACCGAGATGCAATCCAACAAATATTTTCCCCAAAGGGAAATTCTAACTTTGTGCCTATATTTGCCTGACCTTTCAGATGATGAGAAATGTTCAGAAACATTTTCTCCTTCCACAGAAGGAACAACTTGAGATAAAATGTTTCCCAACCAATTCTTTCCCTCCATCTGGTTACAATCCAGATTTCTAAGCAAGGTATCCAAGAAATATTTAGTTAAGCATCTCGCATGTGCCAGGCACCAAATCAAGAACAGAAAAAGCAGGCCCTGCCCTCACGGAGCTTCCCTTTTACTGGGGAATCTTGCTCGTCCTCGTTCTGGAAGAGAACATGGTGATGCCATGACTTGCCAGTGAATTGCAGGGTGGTGAATAAGACTTCAAGTCACGGAGAGCAGAATTTATTAAGTTTAAATTACATGTGTAACTGACATCTCGGGCCAAATAAAGGGTAGACTCCTTTTCCGAGGTGACGTGACACTGTCTGGAAGTAACAGAAGGGAACTAGCCCCAACCGAAACAGGAAGCAAAAACACCCCCTCACATATACGAGGAAAGAGAAAAAGCCGCAGATCGCACTGCGCATGCTCCGCTTCCCGATCACGTATGCGTTTTGCCTTGGCTCCTCTGATTGGTTGAGCGTCTCCCCCTTCTCTCCAATCATCTTCTTCCTCCCTATCCCACCCTCTGTGAAGAGAAACCTTGTCCCAGCAGGCTGTAACCCTTACCTGTCGCGTCTTCCTGCGGACAGGTGAGCAGGGCGCAGGGGTCAGCCCGAGGGAGAAAGGCGAACCGCAGGGAAGGCTCCTCTTTGGCGCTAACAAGGCTGTGGGGGAAGTGTGTTCGGTGACGGTTACGGCCACGCCCTTCCCCTACGAAGAGGTGGGGGGAAGGTAAGAGGTTCCGCAGTCCGCGCTTCCCCCGCCTTCCTTTCCTCTCCAGGGTTGGTCGGGTCACCCCCCCGCCCCCAGCGCTGGCTCCGCGTGGGGGAGGGGCGTCGCGTGCCCCGCCTGTTTCCCTACTCCACCTGCCTGGGGCTGGGGATTGTTTTTGTTTTCCTAGGCTCCCGGAAGTGAAGTTGGAAGGGGTCTTAAAAGCCCAGGCATCCATCCCTCGTTTTACTGGTGAGAACACTGAGTTTAAAATTCAGTATTCAAAAATATTTAATTCTTGTGAAATTGTTTACTCAGTTTTATTCAAATTTAAGTTTTTTAATTCCCTGCACTTTTATCTGAATTTCAGCAACCAGAAAGATAATTTCCTCTTTTAACTCTTTTTGAAAGGGGGGGAATTTGAAATTTGAGATTTCATTGAATTCCAGTGAGGAAAGTCCCTTGAATGCTGGTGGACAACTTTCCTTCGACTTAACAGTTAACGGGCTCACAGCTGTTACTAAAGGATATTCCTGAGGAGCACTGCTTGAAATGAATTCAGATCAATTTCACAGATATATTGGATCTATATAATATTCCCAGCGCCATACCATGAAATGAGAGAGATAAGAAAAGGAGTTTTTAGTCAATCTTATATGTTGCTTCCCTACCTCTTCAACTTACTGTGAAGTCAGGTTAAAATTAACCTCAAGAGCAAAAGTTACATAAAGGTCATCTCAAAAGTTTGTCTGCAAGTGGTAGATCATTTTGCAGGTGATGGTGGGAGATGGGGATAGAAATGGGATTGTTTTATATAATCAGTCACATTTATTAAGCATTCACTTTGTTAAGATGCTGGGCTAATCTCTGGGGAAGTCACAAAAAAAGGGGAACAAACCAATCCTGTTGTTAAGGAGTGTGTATTCTGATAAGATATATATAGAATATATGGAGGTAGATTGAGTGGTGAGACATCCAAGGACCTGAGAACTTGTTTTAAAAACTCCAACTGAGTTTCATAGTCTTAGGGATGGGAGGTGAGCTAAGGTAGGAAGAAGGGTAGTGTAATTTAGTAAGCCAGGATTGACTATGTTATCTTCATCTATTTGTTACTAGAAACATTTTCATTGAGTACAGTTCTCAATGATTATGTAATATCAGTCCTAGTGCCAGTTTCTGAGACAAAGCAAGCTTGCAATCTGGTTAGAGATTACATTTCTCAAAGCAAAGTGAAGTATCATCATTAAGTGATAGGCAGGGTAACGAAGATCATTCTTTGTAGGCCCCCTATCATGGCAGTTGCTGTTGCCCCTAGACTTTGAGGGGAGTCTTACACCGATAGGTATTCCCATCGTTAACAGCTTGTTATATGAGGAGGCAGCTGTGAAAATACATATGGTTGGTGATTTACATGCATTTAGAGCTGGTTACATCACAGTGTACCTATAAGTAATTTTTACCGTCCACTTCCTAGAATTGCTGCAAGTTGTAACCATTTCTGTTCAATTGAAATAGGATCCCCCTCTTGAAAGAACTTTTTAGTCTGTAGACATAAAGTAAAATGTGCTCTGTAACTAAGAGTAAATATAAAAGACTAAAGTAGAGAGAAAAACATTTCTGTTATCAATTAAGTGCCTGTGTGGAAAAAAAAAACTCATAAGGAGTGGACAAAAAGCTCTTGCTAAAGAATAAAACTGCAGACCTTGTCCCATACAAAGAAATCTGTGTCAATTCTCATCACAGGATGTTAGTTTTTTGGTTTTTTTTCCCTTAGGGGAAAAAATTCTGAAGAGACATTTCTCTGAAAGGCCAGTTGTCCCCAGTGTAATGTATAATCATAAATGCTAAGAAACTGAATAACTAATATTGGAAAATGCAGACAGAGTATGATAATACTGTCACTACCTTTGTTGCCACCACTCGAGTACAAGCTTACCCAGTATGTATAGATAAGCAATTACAGATCTGTAGCGTACTTCACAATATATAGCTTTGTCCAATTAGTATGGAGTTCCCTAATACAAGATAGCTGTGCCTAGATTCCTGAATACAATCTATTTATTAAAAAATGATACTTTTTGTTTTGACACAACAGACACTTTTCAACCAAAGCAGAGCTTCTCTCTCTACCAATCAACGAGAATTTATTAAGCAGTTGTTATGTATGGGATATAGAAACAAAAGTGAAACAACAGCTCCTGTCCTTAAGGGGCTTACTTTCTAACCAGGGAGGCAACATACATATAAGAATATACAGAGTATATACACAATGAATACAAGGTCATTTTGATAGGGAGTAAACTCTCAGAAAGGCTTCATAGGAGCTGAGGCTGGAAAGTATTCAGGATTATGAAAGGCAGAATTTAGAAGGGAAAAAAAGCATTCCAGACCTCCAAAGCCCATGTAAAGACTTGAAGATAGGAAGTGGAGTTTTATGTGTGTGAGATAGCAAGTAGGGTGGAATGGCTAGATCATAGAGTGCATCAAAGGTAGTAATATATCAGAGACTGGAAAGGTTAAAAGGGACCAGGTTGTGAAGAGATTTACATGTCAAACAGGAATTTATGTTTGATCTTAGAGGTCATAGATCGTTTCTAGAGTTTGTGTAGTAGGGTTAGACCTGAGTTTTTGGGAAATCACTTTGTAATTTACAACCAAAACAATCTACAGAACTATCTAATAACTTGATTGCTATTGATAGTAAAATCCCATGATTTTTCTGATTAACAGGAAGGAAAGATGTGTACTTTAATTTTTATAGTATAGGACCAACCTGGGTGGTTTTATTTGCCTGGACCTTGGTTATCATTTAGGGTTAGTCATTATTTACTTTGTTGTAGTCATTATGTGCATTATTCTTTTAATTCTGTTTTCTTTATTCTGTTTCACTTCATAAAAATCTGCCTATGTTTCTTTAAATTTTCATAATCATTATTCTATAAGACAAATTCCATTACATTAACAAATTAGGATTGTTCATCTGTTGCCTTCTTACCCCCCACTCCCACCCCACCCCACCCTCCAGCAAATTTGGCACATATTTCATTTCTAGACTATTTGTGTTTACAAATAATGTTGTTACAAATATTTGTGTACAAATGAGCATTATCTTGCTGCCATTAACCTGGGATATAATCCTAATAGGATCTCTGTGTCAATTAATATGAACAATTTTGTACTTTTCCTATATAAGTACAAATTGTTTTCCAGACTAGTTGGACTGATTCATGACTCATCTAGTTTCAGTTACTATGATTCTTCCCAGAATTGCTCTAAATAACTTAATTTTTCAAATCTGTCATTGCTAATTTCATGAGTGTGAGGTGGTGATACTCAAACTTTCTTAAAATTTCATTTTTCATTATTCATGATTCAGAAGTTTTTCAGGTGCTTGTTGGTAGGAGGGTACATTTCTCCTTTTGAAAACTGTTCATATACTTTGACCACTTGTCTGTTGGAAATGACTCTTATGAATTTGTTTCAGTTCTAGAGAGATTTTATAGATAAGATATTAGACTTTTATCAGAGATGTTTAATGAAGAGATTTTTCTCCAAACTGTATATTTTCTTTTAATTCTTATCCAATCTATTCTAAATTCTGGGTTCTTCTGACCTTGCTCCTTACTCATTTTCTCAGTCTACACTTAGTTTATCCTGTGGTTTCTTAAAATATCACTGTTTGCTACTCAATCTCTTTCTGAAATAAATTATGCAATTGTTTATAATTACACAATAGTTATCACACATTTGAGCATATGCATTGGGGAAGCAATTCAGTAGAGAGTTAAATAGGTCTTTTAAAAAAACCAACTGGGGCAGCTAGGTGGCGCAGTGGATAGAGCATCGACCCTGAAGTCAGGAGGACCTGAGTTCAAATTAAGCCTCAGACCAAACACTTGACACTTGCTAGCTGTGTGACCCTGGGCAAGTCACTTAACCCCAATTGCCTATTTAAAAAAAAACTGATACCATGTATGCTTTAAAAAAAGGTGATTATGGTTGACAAAGTCAAGGGAATTCTCATGATCTTTAATGAAAAAAATTATCTCATGACAACATATTAACATAATTTTGAAATTTATTCACACATTTAATGATATTGAATTTAGACATGCCTGATTTCAGCAGGATGTCACTGCCTATAGATTTAAAGACATAAGGAATTTAAGAAGTTTACTCCAGTCCTCTCATTTAGAAATTAAATTAGTTTAGTCATCAGAAACATACCTATAATCACAGTTTGGGGACATAGTATTCCAGGTGGCTTATGAGCAACCATATTGCAATCCACCAGACTTTGATTCTTCAACTATTGCATGAAAACATTCATTAAGTTCATTAAGTTTCATTAATTGATGGCTTAGGTCTGATTCTTGTGTTTAACAGATGTTTATTGTATTCTTGTCAAAATAAAGTTAGGTGACATTTTCAGAGTGATATAATATTGACGTGAATTGCAGTAATTCTCAAACACCCTCTATTGCTTTGTGCACTCCACTGAATTGGTTACATATATGAAACTATGATTTTATGGTTGTCTTGAGCACATGTTAAGTACGTAACATGTAATCACTTTTTTGGCACAATGCAAGTGCTGTTTCTCCTTGTGCCAGGAGCCCCCCACTCTCTGTTTTTCTAGGATTCTAATAACTAAGGACATCCTTCTATAAACAAAGAGAGAAAAATGCTAATATTTATCTGGTCTTAATAAGGTGTTCTATATACATTAGATTATTTGATCCTCATACCAACCCTATGAGTAAGTACTATACAGGTAATCTCATGTTACAGTGAGTGATATTTGCTTGTGGTCACCCATATAGCTGATATGTATTGGAGACAAGATTCAGCCCTAGTTTCTACTCATTCCAAGTACAGCATTATTTCTCACCTATACTACTCTCATGCACAGGAGGTAAAAGTATGGAAGGTAGTTTAATATTGCTTAGAGTAAGAATCTCTACTGTGATGCTTCCTCATAATAAGGAGATAACTCTAGGTACTCAAAAGTCAGTGACAGT